ATGCAATAGCGAAACTCTTAACTGAAAAAAAATAGGACAAGGTGTTTCTTTTTATTATGTTTTTTGTCCGGTTAGGAGAACATTTTCTCGTGTCCGCGTCTGTTCAAGAGAATGTCCGTCCAAGAGAAAGTTAATATAATGCAAATTATATGAGAGTCGGTCGGCATCATGAGAAACTGTCCATCTAAAGGTGCCCGTGTAAAAGGGGTGTCCGCGAAGGGGAATTTCACTATAAATAATTTGTTCTTAACCAAAGGAAGCGGTGGAATAATGAGCTTTGCAGACGTCACCGTCATTGTATACTTAATGATATGCGAATATTTAAGGGTGTGAATCTATATGAAAAATTAATATTAGTTTGCGTTATAAACTATGGTCCAAAAATGTTTCCTTACAAATACTCGGGGTGTTGAAGATTTAGGAAAAAAATGGAAACTAATAATTTCAGAACCTCTTCAGATATCTCACTGATATTTAATACGTAGTGAAAATTTATTAAAGTTGCATTTTTTTAAATGCAAAAAGAATTTTTAGCCTTAACAGTGGCGTGCGTACGGATATTTGTTAAGAAAAAACTGGTACGCCAATGGTTTTTGCCAAATAAAAATTATTTTTGAATTTCCCGTTCAATTTAAAACAAACGATCTCTCTTGAATTGTTTTCCTTCGATGCGCCATTTTTGAGTAAAAAAATAAAAACCGTTCTATTGTCTAACTTGCAAAATTATTATTAATCTAATTGCAAAAATTACACACATTAGGGGTAATGAACAACAACAACTGACAACATAAACATAACATTAAAACCAACAAAATGATTACAAAAATTGTTGAAAATGGCCCCCTTCACTCAGTATGCATGCTTCCGCCCTCCTTCTCATGGAATTGCGCACTCGTTGAAATATCCGTGGAGTGTTTTTTTATTATATCACAAGCTGCAACTATTCATTCTCTTAATTCCTCTACAATGTTAATGGGACTTAAACTGTTGAGGTATAGGGACCTTGGTGGCCATTCTTGGGGCCCACCGCGGCCAATCCAACGATTTGGATAAAAAGTTTGTAAATAATTTCGAACCGCTACGCTGAAATGCGCTGGTGCACCATCATGCATGTACCACATATTGTTTCTTGTTACTAACGGAACATCATCAAGCAGCAAATGCAACTGTTGTTGAAGAAAATTGAGATAAGTCTGTCCGTCAAGTCGGCCCGGCAAGAAGAATGGGCCAATAAAGTGGTTGCCAATAATTCCTGTCCATACGTTGACCGAAAATTGGAGTTGGAAATGGGTTTCGGTTACGACATAGGGATTTTCTTCTGCCCACAAATGATTATTGTGGAAATTCTGAATGGCATTTCGAGAAAAATTAGCTTCGTCCGTGAACAGAATCGTTGATTCAAATTGCGGATTTTGTGTAATTTTTGAAGATACTGCTGACAAAAGGTCACACGCCTTGGAAAATCAATGGGAAGTAATGACTGTACTCTTAAAATATGGTAAGGATATAACAAAAAATCCACTAAAATTCTCCAAACAATTTAATGGCAAATATTTAAGCGATCTTCCTCAACAAGACGACGTTGAAGATTAGAAAAGGTTCGATTATCTGGCAAGGCACGATCTGGATATTTCTGGTTGCTCACCATTACCGTCGGCAAGGCCCTATACGTAATGCATTTCCGCCATTTCTGCATTCGAATAATTCACCATTATTAACAAGATTGTAAAAACTAAATAATGAAAAAGGTGTCACAACGAACAGATTTGAATAACAAAGACTTCTTAGATGTCAAATGCCAGTGACGTATTCCAGAGCAACTAGATATTTATTGCTAAATTGCATTCTTCAATTATTACATTAATTTTCTCGGACAATAGAACGGTTTTTATTTTTTTTCTCAAAAATGGCGCATCGAAGGAAAACAACAGAGACCATTTGCTTTAAATTGAAGCGGTTCTGAAAATATTAATTAATTTATTTTTTTTTTCTTAAAACTTCAACACCCCGAGTTTTTGTAAGGAAACATTTTTGGACCATAATTTATAAAGCAAACTAACATTAATTTTTCTTGTAGATTCACACCCTTAAATATTCGCATATCGTTAAGGAACACCCGGTATACAGCTTGAAGCTGGGATGCGTTAAAAACTTTAATGCAAGATGATTTTAAAAAGATTGCAGCATCTTTCAATGACAAGGTATTGAAGGGGATGAACTATGCAGATACCAGTTTTGTTCCATTTGCGTCTTATAAGTGTCATTTACCTGAGTACAATTCGCTGACCATCAACACTAATAACCCAGTCATTGTACAAAGATCAGATAGTAAAAAAAAGGTGTTTATATCGTCAGTAACCAAATGGGATATACGATGGATGTCTTTTAAGTTTTGCATATGGAAATAAAACAACACGGTAGGTAGTTTTAAATGACTTTATTGTTTTTCGAAGTATTCTCTACGAAGATTAATACACATCTGCATGCGCTGGAACCAATTTTCGAAGCACTTATTCCACTCGTTTGCTGGCAGATCCAAAACGGCATTTTTGAATGCGTCAACTGCTTCTTCTGGTGACTGGAACCATTGACCACGCAGTCTGTTTTTAATTTTCGGGAAAGTAAAGAAATCATTAGGACTTAGATCGGGAGGATGGTCCAATAATTCCACGTTTTCTTTCGTTAAATACTGCCTTGTTTTTTGGGCTGTGTGCGAGCCTGCATTGTCTTGGTGGAGGATGATTCTCCTTTCGGGGGGGCAATATGACCCGCTTTTGACAAAAATGTCGCGACCATCTTTTTCGAAACACTTCGAGAACGGATTACTTTTGTTGGCTTTTCTTCACCTTGGAACACCCAAACAGCCGACTGTCGTTTATTTTCTGGTTCATAACAGTAAATCCACGATTCATCACCACCAACAATCCTGTACACATTTTTTGAGGCTCTTCAGTCAACAGGTAGGGTATCCAACGAGAAACTAATTTTCTTACTCCTAATTCTTCATGTAAAATTTTTTGAATTGAGGTCTTTGAGATCTTCAAGGACGCCTCAATCTCGCGATATGTCACATATCTATCTTCAATGACGAGTTTGCGCATAGCATCGACGTTTTCATGGGTTACTGCCGTTTGTGGTGCACCCACCTTGGGATCGTCGCTAAGACTCACCCGTCCACGTTTGAATTTTCCATACCAACGGGAAATTGTCGACTGATGTGGCGCTTCGTTGCCGAAAAGAGACAGTAACTCAGCAAGGCATTCTTATTGCGATAATTGTCTCTGAAAGTTGTAATAAATTATGTCGCGAAAATGTTCTCGTGAGAACACTGCAAGTATTTTTGTGAAAGTTTGAATTTAAGTTTACTAAAGAGTGAAGTTAAGATTCAGTACTGACGTTCGATCCGCGCGACCTACTATGTTTCTATATGCAAAACTTAAGAGACATTCCTCGTATCACTACATCTGGTGTTCGACACTTTTTTCTGAATGTTAACAAAATACTTACGGAAGGACTTTGAAACCAGTTTTTTTGTTTACTGTTTATCGTGGAAAAGAAAGGAAATGCAACAATTGCTTTTTTTAGACTAAAATTCAATTTATTTTTATGTATGGAATTGAAGCAGAAACAGGGGCAGACATTTTGTGAATCTAGGCGGAAGACATTCAACAGGATTATCTCAGGCATCTCACCACAGTGGTTAAACAACTAACAATTTTATGTTGCAGAAAGTACATCAAACACAGCAAAAAATATTTTCATAAAAATATATTCACAATCTTTTTGGGATTAGCTACATGAACGTATAGTTAGCATTGAATAAGCAATACCTCATAATTTTTTCCGACTGAAGCTGTATCAGTGGCGTAGCAATTGGGATGCTATCGAGGAACGTTTTCTACACCGCATAGTTTTTAGAAAAATCTGACCAAATCACTAATTATGTTTAATGTTTCTCTTGAAAAATATGAGATAAAATCTGGTCTAATTTGGTAATGCAATAAAATTTTCATACAAAACATTCGATATTGCAGATTATATTATTTGTATTAACAGAAGTTTGCAGCTATGTTTGAAACTGTTTAACAATAATCATAATTACCAATCAATATCAGAATAGTAATTCTTAAGGGTCGTATCGTCAATTGTAGGACGTCTTCTATGGGTTCCTTGATTTTCATAGCCTCTTCTTTCCTTCAGAAAGGTTGGGGTATCTCTAGATTTCTACTGTTCCGTGTCAGTGCTCTATTTTGAAGTTATGTTACAAATATATATTTGCATCAAATTGTTCATGCTAACCTCACAGTATGAGAGCGCTGACATGAAACAGTAGAAATTCAGAAATCTGAAGACGAGGAAACACTGTGAAAATCAAGAAGGCCATAAGGGCGTCCTACAATTGTAGGAACGACTGACGATACGGCTCCAAGTCTTACTGACCGCTCCGACAATCGCCAATGAGTGCAAAAATTTGCAATGCTTTGTATCCCCTGGATGTATTTTGATATAACATGTGTTTTTTTTCACGACATACTGATATTTTTCAGCTATTTTTATCGACTAAATCCACCCCCTACAATGTCATACCTCACCCCCCTTGAAATGGATCCATACCGCTGCGAACGGAATTAGGGCTGACATGGATATGGTCTGCCGCTCAACACGGTACATTGTTTTAAGAACCACAATGTGCATAACCAATAATGGAGGATATTTTGAACAGCTTCTGTAACATTAAACATGTCCAAATTCTCTATAAGAAACATTGATTTGTCATTTTTATGTATGGAAAATTTGAAAACAATTTGCATTTTATTACACCCATTTTGACCCATGTTAAATAGCATTTACTGCTTAACGTACAATACTTAAGATAACAAAAAGCTGTAGAATTAGCACAAAAAAGTACAACTTCACAGACTAGTTTTTGAATGGTGTGCGAAAATGCAGAAAATAATCAATTGTCTTCCATATTTTTTTGTTTGTGTCTGTTTTTAAGTATGTTTGACGGTTAAAAAAGTTTTTCAATAATCGCTAGGACAACATGTCATCGTTCAAATGACACCAAATTTATCATTCTGCGATAATTGCGTACTCAGTTATTACAATTTTCATACATGCACTACCGTAATCGTAACGTAAAAATAAAAATGGCAGCCATTTCAAGGGGGATGAGGTAGGACATTGTAGGGAGGTGGATTTGTCGATAAAACTAGCCGAAAAATACCCTTCCTAAATATCGGTATGTCGTGTCCAAACACATTGTATATCTACATTTTACCCTACAGGTGAACAATACTCAAGCTCGTAAAGCTTTCAATGAGTACAATTTTTGTTTCTTGTATGCTTCTGTTTTCTCACATACTTAAGTTTCCTGCTCGTATAGTTCAAATCTATGGAAAAAACAGCATCTAAATGTATAGCTTAGACGATAAATCATCTACCTTGCATCGCTACGCACCCTTGTATTTCCCTCTACTTCACCCTTTCACTTTTGTTCTACTCACCCTTATTTTGAATATCTCGGCTGTCCCCTACCTTGAAGGTGCTAGACCTGATCATCTATTATGTAACCCTTCTACGCTGCTAACCTAGGGTCTTAAAAAATTACCGTTGAACATTTCTTTTTGAATCAGGGTAATTGACCTGAAATTTTGATACAATTTCTGTTTTATATTTTAAGTGCTAATAGCTGTTCCTACCTGTAATATACCAATTTCCAGTTTTCAGAAGTACCTACGTTAGGCGTCTACTAGTTTTCCATTATCTGTTACCGATATCGTAGCGAACTGATAATTGGTAACTAGCATGAAACTGAGTTGTTGATCATAAGAAAGCAAAACACATTCAATTCAGCCTAATATACAGGGTGTAAACGTTGTGATAGTCATTATTTAAATAGACATGTGACATATCGCGAGATTGAGGCGTCCTTGAAGATCTCAAAGACCTCAGTTCAAAAAATTTCACATGAATAATTAGGAGTAAGAAAATTAGTTTCTCGTTGGATACCCCACCTGTTGACTGAAGAGCAGAAAGCAGCCAGGGTTAATTGGTGTCAAAAAACGCTTGACCGTTTTAATTCCGGTAACTCAAAAAATGTGTACAGCATTGTTAGTGGTGATGAATCGTGGATTTACTGTTATGAACCAGAAAATAAACGATAGTCGGCTGTTTGGGTATTCCAAGGTGAAGAAAAGCCAACAAAAGTCATCCGTTCTCGAAGTGTTTCGAAAAAGATGGTCGCGACATTTGTGTCAAAAGCGGGTCATATTACAACATCTCCTCTTAGTGAGGAAAGAACTGTTACTGCAGATTGATATACCATCATCTGTTAGCCAAAAGTCACCACCGAGTTTCGAAAAATCAACCCCGAAAGAAGAATCATTATCCACCAAGACAATGAAGCTCGCACACAGCCCAAAAAACAAGGCAGTATTTAACGAAAGAAAACGTGGAATTATTGGACCATCCTCCCGATCTAAGTCCTAACGATTTCTTTACTTTCCCTAACATTAAAACCAGATTGCGTGGTCAAAGGTTCCAGTCACCAGAAGAAGCAGTTGACGTATTCAAAAATGCCGTTTTGGATCTGCCAGCAAACGAATGGAATAAGTGCTTTGAAAATTGGTTCGAGCGCATGGAAATGTGTATTAATCTTCGTGGAGAATACTTCGAAAAACAATAATGTCATTTAAAACTACCTACCGTGTTGTTTTATTTCCATATGCAAGACTTAAAAGACATTCCTCGTAGCACAGTTTGGTTGCTGATGCGTAGGAAAGAACAGAAATATGATTGATTTGAAAGACTCATAATTAAAAAGAGTGGCGAGTTTTGATAATAAAGCTGATAGGGGTAAGAAAAAAAACAGGAACCTCATATTTTACCTTTCGTCTGTAACATGGTAAAGAAACATTTCTTAGCTACCTGTACAAATGATGAATTATTTGCTGTTTTCAATCGATATGAAACAGAAAACTGACACCTACTGGTCCATATTGGCCTAGACATTCTTTGAATCATGAGCAAGAAGAAAAAATAAAATTCTAGTGACCCTATAAATGAACCTCTCGAAAAACGCATTAGCAGTTCTATCAAAAGAATGTAATTATTTCAGGAAAATCAATGAGCGATTGAAAAATGAGGGTGAAAAAATCTGTGCCGAAGTTCAATATCTGAACAAATCACATCAATTGACCAACGAAGACAAGATTCCAGCGACACCATGATTTAATCGCTACCCACATTATTGAAAACGATTCTTTCTCGAAAAATAAGTTCCAAGATCGATGAAATCAGACACTAAAGAAAGACGACTCAATAGTATCGTCACTACTCCTAACCAAGGGCAATCCAGTTTTCAAACGAGAACTGATCTCAATGAAAAAAATAACCTATCCGAATTAAACATAAACGTTGATAAAATCAAGAATCCAAGTTATGGTTGAAGAGATATGAATTTGGAATAAAGTTCTCATTCCAAACTAAAAGAGGCAATTAATTGTATATTCGAGGCTTATAATTATAATCACTTAACTGACGTTTTGCATTGTTAGTGGTTGTGATTTTAAGTATTGTGAGTGCCTGCGGTCATTCAGTTTCATTTCTTATTTTAAAATGAAAGATAGGATGTAACTTGTACGAAAATACCATTTTTTCTTTATAGAACTTCAAAGTTATACTTAGGGTGCTAATACTGTGCTATAGAATACTGCTTTATAAGCTGTTTTCTTCTTGTTTAACCAAAAGATTGTTCAAAATTATATGAATATAACATACACTGTAAGTTACTGTGACACCGTTCATCGCAATAATGCAATTTTGCATCATTTTAATGATGAAAATAGCTCGTTGTTAAGTAGTAATTTCTTTTATTTCAGATAATTATTCCCATCACTACACCACCGTCACTGTCATATTCTCTCCATCTAGTTGCGATGTTGCCAAATCATGGATAGTAATATACTTTAATTTGGTTTGTCAAATTCTTACTTGTATACTAGCGCAAGAATGTGCAATCGGCACAGGGTTGTCATGAAAATGCGATTTGGAGGTGTGGCCGGCAGGTTTCACTGTACTAAATCCACCTTGTGCCCTACGATAGCGTTAGCTAAAGAGACTTTTTTAAAGAATGCCTTATGCCCTTCACAAAAGTACTTCCGTTAATGTTTTTCCTATATTATAGTTATTATCTATTTACTTTCTGTATGTATGTACTTGAAGAACTATTTAAAGTGAAGCTGATGTTACAAAATATACCCAATTAAATACGATATATATATATATATATATATATATATATATGGGAAATGACTGAAAAAGTAGCTATTGCAAATCACTAAATAATGTAAACATAACAAAGAACATTGCAAGTTTTTTGATGATTTGATGAAATGATCGTTGATCTTTATTTAACTATAACGTTAGACGATGATATGTTGGGTGGACCTGGCAAGGTGGTCCAAATCGACGAATCAAAGTTGGGTATTTTTATATGCAATGACGGCTGGTGCCTTTTGTATTTTTTATGTCACGCATGTATTTTCCACTGTTTAGACACATACTGTTCAAAATTTCATCTAGGTTTCGGCAAAAATTGGGACACCTTCTCATAAAACAAGCCATTTACAATAAATTAAGACTTTTATTTTGCAAATAACCTCATTTCCAATTACGTATTTCTCCCAAAAAAGGTACAACTTGGCCACATTGGATATCATTTATTTTATCTGTTAAGAAATGAGCGTTATAAAATGGCCATTGAGAATTGTTTGTACTTTCAAATATTTCTTAGAAATGCAAAAACTTTGATCTCATTGAAAATACGCGAAAAAAATGGTTAAGGAATTTCAAGAAGAAATTGAAAAATTACAAAACAACACCTCTACACAATTTACCAAGTAAATACCATCATTTACGTATGTATTTTGATCTGTTGTTTAAGCTAATAAGTTAATATGTAATAACACGTCTGGTTTTGAACCTTTTTATGCAAAAACAACGATTTTTTACACTTTCACATCTATTTTCCTGAGTACTATACAGTTTATGTTATACGCTTATATACTAAGTGACATATAAATCCGAACACCCAGTTTAAATGGTTTTATTTTAATAAAATTTTGTATAAGTACTTAATGAAGCATAATAAGTAAATGATAAAAATTTCAAAATGATTGCACTGCTTTAAAGCCCTTTGACCTTTAATAATGTGTGGGTGCACCCTGATGTGCTACGCATTCTCCAACGCGCCTAGGCATGCTTCTGATCAGGTGGTCAATGTCCTCCTGTGGTATCTCATTCCAGGCAACCACCAACTTCTCTCGAAGTGCTTCTAGAGTCTGAGGAGGACGTTGCAAATTGAGCAATCTCCCACACGTGCTCAATTGGGGATAAGTCGGGAGATCTTGGTGGCTATGGTAACAATGTGATATCATTATGTTGAAAGAAGTCTATTGTGACTCTTGCAACATGTGGTCGGGCATTATCTTGTTGGAAAGTTGGATCTGCCAGGGTGTCAAGATAGGGTAAAAGATGGGGTTCTAGAACTTCGTGGATATAACGCTGCGCGTTCATGTTACCTCTGATGAAGATTAAAGGTGACCTGTAACATAAGCTATAGCACCCCAAACTATAACTCCAACAGTGTGATGAACATGTCTTTCAACAAAAAACTGTGGATTCCTCCTTTCACCACGTCGCCTTCTAACCCTGGCACGACCGTCGTGCATGCCTAAATAAAATCGAGACTCGTCACTAAAGACAATACTGTTCCATTCCTGATCCCAGAGTGACCGTTGCCTGCACCACTCAAGGCGATTACGTCGGTGTTCTCGAGTTAAAGGGAGGACCCAGTGTGGCCGGTATGAAAACAAGCCAAAACTTCTCATTCGTCGGTAAACACTTCGCATGCCAATAGGTCTTCCGTGTTCTGCAAACCTTTCATTTGCAATGGACCTGGTAGTGGAGAAACGGTCCCTTAAGGCCAATAATCTTAGGCGGCGATCTTCACGGTCTGTTGTTCTACGGCCGCGTCCAGTGCCCCTTGCTCTTTGCGTACGGCCTTCTCGAAGCCATGCCTGACATCACCTAACCACAGTGTCTACACTTCTTTGCACTCTAACTGCAATTGCCCGAAAAGAAAGTCCAGCTTCCCGAAGTCCCACTATACGGCCCCTATCAAACTCACTAAGTTGACGAAATCGTACAGGTCTCCGTACTCTAGGCATCGTAACCGATCGTAAAGGATGTCAAGAACCAAAATCCGCCAACGTTGATTCTTTACTAAATATTCATTTTTAGAGCGTTAGTGAATTAAAAAAAAGCAGTATAAAAACCGGAATGTCCAACTGATAAGGCTGAAAATTTTTTCACTTGTTATTTACAGTAAGATAAATACATTCACCAACTTTTATTAAAATAAAAACATTTAGACTGGGTGTTCGGATTTATATGTCACTTAGTATAATTTAGAGCATCCTTTTGTACAAAAAGCAAAAAAGACAGCAAATAAAACAGTATTTTATTCTAGAGTATTCGCACCAAAAATGCAACTTCGAAGTTCTATAAAATAGCAAGCAGAGGACACTCCTTAGAGAAAAAATGATATTTTCGTAAAAAATACATCTTAATCTTTCATTTTAAAGTAAGAAATGAAGTATTTGCGATATGCGCTAAAGTATAGTCTTACAGATGAATGATAATAAGCCGCGACCAGGTGCATTGAGAACTGAATCAACAGACAGGAATGTGGCATGTGTGGAAGGCATGCTTAGAGAAAATCGTCGAATTTCAATCAGAGCAATTTCAAAAAATGTTGGTGTGAGTATAGTCCATAGTATCGTACACAAATTGTGTGACAGTAAAGTTTGTACGCAATGGGCTCCTTGCCTTTTGTCACGGGACCAAAAGAGTTTGCTAATGGGCTTATCTTTGCAAAATCTCACAGAATACAAGCAAAACGGTAATGACTTTCGTTCTTCAATAATTGCTGGCGAAGAATCTTGGTGTCATTATTTCGAACCATCCAGTCAACTGTCATCGATGCAATGGAAACACGCAAATTCTCCGACACGGAGAAATTAGAGCATCGGAGGATATTAGAGCATCCACCCTATAGTCCTGATCTATCGCCTTGCGATTTTCACATCTTTGGGCCACTGAAAAAAAAGTTAAAAGGTAAGCATTTTCAGTCGGACGAAGAAGTACGAAATGCCGTAAGAGAATTATTCAAGCAGCATCCACAAGGATTCCTTAAGCAGGGAATACTTCGATTGGTAGAACAAAGGGGTATGTGCATTAATTGCAGTCGTAATTATTTGTACATATAATTGCCGATACATTTTTTCTAGACCAAATATGTGTTTCAGTGTAACAAGCCGCGTATTTATATGTGCCTTCATCTGTTTTGGATTCAACAAACTCGATCTGTATTTCCGTCCAACCTTTCGATTTTCTATTGATTACGTATACCTTCACTTTTATTAACGGAGTATGCATATCGCTTGTATGCATCCTTGGTGCGGCCCGCTTCAGAAGCAAATGGAGCTGCATGTATACTGTATTTGCTAGCAACAGTAGCGGTAATCCAAATCCTGACCCAATTCCAACGTCTTGTACAATGTATGCTAAGTACGTTAAAGTTGAATAAGGCACATGGCAGTTTATGCAAACCAGGGATGTTAG